TCTCCCATAGACAGGTTTGTCATTTTACTATATAAACGTTATAAATGTCCGATTTTTCTTCTTTTTCATGTCCAAAGCAAAAAGGAAGGCGTCTTCATGCAGCATAAAAATGCAAGGCGTATCGTAGAGCGTAAAATTGTATGGCATAGGTGTTGCGTAAAATTTCACTTCAGCCCAAGCTTTGTGAGATCTACCTGTCGGAACTAAAAATTAGAGAATTACTGTACTTTAGGCGTTAGCTCAAGAGTTGACAGGCGCGCCGAACCATCTGGAACAAACACTTCTTGATTGGAAGCAAATACGGTAGTAAGTGAGCTTACTAACTTACCGGACAGTTAGGGTGTCCGTCCACCCCAAAGAGCGACGAGACACGTGCCCCCAGTCCTGAGACACGTGTACTCTTCTTGTGGACAAAACTGCTGAGAGAGTTTCAATGACATATCGAGGGACTTTAGACCAACGATGACATGATTGAGAGGAAATCACCCCCCTTTTTACTCTTTTTTAAACCGATCTCTTCTCATGATTAGACATCACCCAAAACACCTTTACTTGTAAAAGCGTTCTACAAAAGCAAAGGATTAATCTAGATTCTTTAGCGAGTTAAGACTAGAAATAACTTTTTCTGGCCTTTATAGCTACTTGTTTCATACACTTAGAGAATCAAGGATCGTTTCTACATCCTTAGCATTTATGAAAGATTCTCTACTCCTTGAGAACTTCGCAGAATTAGTCTCGGATTTATTTCCTTGACTACTTTGATCATCGTCTATTCTAGACTCAATCAAAGTGGGGGCTAACTGTAGAAACCTACTTTTGGCCTCCTGTCCTAACAGGAAGTGCAATGAAGATAAATAAAACCATCTTCATGTTGGATCGAAGTGAAGAATGCTTATGGATAACTGCTTAAACCACAAAACACAAAAGACTAGCCCAAACCAATAAACAGAGCCAAACAAAGTCTAATTAATTAAATCCAGTCATAATTAGGCTTAAGCCCGGCCCGTACTTAAAACCCAATAATGATGGATTTAGGATCGCCTAGCTTAAAATAAGCGATGTCGCAGAAAATAACGTGCACATCTCAAGGAGTCGCGCTGGGCTGGCACGCACAACTAATTTAGTTGCGCGTGACACTTAGCGCAACTGCCAGAGTTGCGCTCGTGAAAGATTCAGAATTTCAGAAAATTGAAAAATCGAATCTTGCCATAAAGTCGCGCGTAAGATAATTAGTTGCGCTGCTTACAGCAGCGCAACTCAATCACTTGAGTTGGGTAGCCACGCGCAACTCATCCAGTTGCGCGCGACACTTTCTACGACAGAATGTTAAAAACCCTAAACCTACTCATTCCCTATAAATAGAGGCTTAATCCGAGGCTTAAACAGACAGAAATTAACCCTAAACTCTGGCGAAAAACTTGTGAAATTGTGCTACCTAACCCCTCTTGTCCTTAACACTCACCCCTTTGATATTTTGTTACTACGGTGGAGGTTCTGCAACAAAAAGGAGTCCATAAGTGTTCTAAACGGAGATCTAGCAAAGAGAAGTGGTAAATTCCAAAGCACTTAGATAAATCATTTTTATTTTCTTGTTTAAAAGAACTTTAATTAATTAATTAGTGTTTCTTGATCACTTTAAAAGGTTTAATTTATCAATTCCACCTAGTTTCTTGTGTTAAATAAGATTAGAATTGAATAATTAATTGTTGGTTGATCACTTAAGCCAAGGCGAATGTTGTTTATTTCTTGTTATATTCACAAATTTGATTAAATAAAGATTAACGACGTTGCAATGTAATTCCTACATGAATTAATGTGTGTAAATAAAATCAACTAACTTAGTTTTAGGTATAGCATTGCATATATTGTTTGGTGATGAAATTGTAAAAAAGGAATAGCTAGTATAGGCCGTACTAGGGCTAGGATAGCGATTCCCCCCTAAAAGGGAACGTTATTTTAGTACCCTTACTCCCAAACTCATTTCTGGTTTATGTAGACCAATTTGGGCATGAGTAAAATTACGGTTCGTGCTAATTATTCCATGAACTCCACATGGAAGAAAGGCATGAACGAGGTTCATGAGTTTTCCCAAAACTCATTGGCGACTCCTACTTGTTTCTTATAAAAAAGCGTGATGACAAGATCAATTCTAATTCAAGGTCCCCCAAACAGTCAAGAATTCAAATCCTACTACACCTTAACAAGTGTAAAGTCCTAGGATTTTAAATGGCCATGGGCATCTAAGGAAGGACCCCCTTACGATGGGATCACCCTCCTTACAATATTCTATTTTAATTTTTTGTTAACAATTGTATTTGTTTGGTTTTATTTTATTTGATAGCTCATTTTTGTTTATTTTTGTTATTTTGACGTTTTCTACCGGGGAAATAACCTGTCTTCACATTTGCTACCGGTTTAAAGTTTGTTTTTTTTTTTTTTTTTTTACTTTGTTACCACCATAATTAGAGTTTGTTAAAAATCACTAGCACTTAACAAAATCAGTTAGAATTCCGTTAAGTTTATTAAAAAAAATTCAAAAAAAAAAAAAAAGCTACCCTTAAAAGCCCAGCCCCTCCCGTCAGCCACCCTCCCCCCTCCCCCTGCCGGCGGCCGAAACCCAAAGATACGGCTTGTGGCGGTGACCCCGCCGGAATCGAACCCTTCCCCTTCCCTTACCCAAAAACCGTCACCCCTACCCTAAACCACCACCCCGAAACCACTTAAACGGGTTTTAGGGTTTTGCTTATTGTGGTTTTGGGTGGCTGGGGAACTCCTTCGCGTGGCATGGTGGCTGATCAGTGGGCGTAAGGTTTGGTGGATGATTAGTTGGCGTGAGGGTTGGTGTCTGATTAGTGGCGTAAGGATTAGCGGCTGACTGGGTGTCTGATTTGCGATTGATTCGCGCGGCATGGTGGCTGAGGTGGGTTGGACAGCGCGACTAAGAGTGTTAGGGGCGTTGGCCGAGGGTGGGGATGGGGGAGGGGGGAGGAGGTTGCTGCTGAGGTGGGGAGGGGTGGTGGCTGGGGAAGTAGTGGTGGCTGGAAGGATGATGAGTGTAATTTTTGGCACTCATTTGATTCTCTTTATGATGGAATTCATGCTATTTTATAGATATTTTCTTTAGTTTTTCCTTGTTTTCTTCTTTATTTCCTTAGTTTGCATTTTCTTAGTTGAATTTATATTTTTATGCATTTCTTGGTTTATTTTGTTATTTTATTTTTAATTTGATTTTTTCATTCATTTTTCAGGCTGTGATCGTAATCCGAGGATTCCTGAGTCTCCTTCCCAAGTTTTACATCGTTTGAGATGCCTATTGCCTACCATTTAAAGTTCAAGTTTGAATGAGTGTATAGTCCAAGTCTTTAGCTCGTGCATGGAAGTAGTGGGTACACCATTCTTGGTGTTAAACCTACTGTGGAGGCTATTTGAAGGTTGCCTCCTTCCGTGTTCATTAACATCATCAAGTGGAGCACACAAGGAAGAGAAAAGTCAAAGGTGAAGGAGGTTGCCCTGCTCCCAAGCGCGGGAGCGCGCACCCATGGTGCGACCACGCAGCCTGGTGGCGCGAGCGCGCCTCTTTGGGTCTCTGTTCCGTACCAAGTTTTGCGAGGTTGCGCTCCCCCTTGAAGATGACCGCGCTTGTACGGGTCTATTTTGGACGATCTAACTAATTTCTCTTTGTTAGTTTTACTATATATAAACTTTCCTTCTATTTTTAGGGAAAGTTTTTTAAAAGAGAATTAGAATAGAAATTTTTAGATCATTTTGTAGAGAGAGAAACTCTAGGATGTAGAGAGAGAAGTTATTGATTCATGATTGAAGATTGATGATTCTAAGCATTTTCTCCATTGTTTTGAAGCAAGTTTGTAAGGATTTCTTTTACTTTAATACAATCTTTAGCTTTTGATTTCAATTATTTTGTTTTTTATTCAAGTTTGATTCAATTTGTGATTGAATTAGTTTGCTTAATATAATAATGGTGAATTTGTTGTTTAGCTTAGTTTGGATCTTGATTTCCATGGATTGTGAGTAGTTTTCTTTCTAGGGGAATGGTGAAGCATACATGAGTAACAGATTGATGCTAATCGGGGGAAATTGATGGAGTTGATGTAGTAATTTAATTGGTTGATTGATTATGTGCATGTGTGCGATTGATTGAAGAGTAGCTAACTTTGATCGTAGCACTAGATAACATTGTAATTTCACATTGATACGTACAATTGATTTGTGGCTTACATTTGTCGATTGAGTTGGTTTGTGAAGTTCCTAGCTAGAGTCTCTCGTAGTTAGCGCTAGTTTGACCTCTAGGAGAATATCCTATCATACTCTCTTGATTGCTTAATTGATTTTCCCTCGCAACACTCGACTTAATCAATTCTAATCCCAATTAGTTGTATCCACTGCATGTATATGTGGATCCCAAACCCTAGTGTTTGATATATTTGGTTTTAATCTCGTTTCCTTAATTGTTTAGAGTAAACACACCTTACTTCACTTCATCGAAATAGCTTAGCTTTAGCATTAGAATTCACCTCCCATTCCTAGTGGTTCGACCCTCAACTTACTCCTATGCTAGTTATAAGGTTGTGTTGAGTGATTACAAATTTTGTTTGGCCTAGGGAAGATTAGTCCAAGAGTTGGAATTCGTCGTTCTTCAAGGCCAAGCTCTCTTAGAGAGGAAATTCATCAAGAAAGAGAAGAGGAGGATCGAGGAAGCATGGGAGCTAATCCAAGAGTTGATTTGAAGGAGTTGGGAACTCCCGGTGCTTATAGATTTGAGAGTGGCATATCTCCACCAACAACTTCAGCCAATGAGTTTGAGATAAGGCCAGCAATGATAACAATGATTAAACAAAAGCAATTTAGTGGTGCCGGCATAAAATCCCACTAAACCATCTCAAAGAGTTTGAGAAGTATTGTAATACCATAAAGGTCAATGGGGTTTCTCAAAATTCATAAGGCTCAAGCTATTTCCGTTCTCCCTAATCGAAAGAGCTTTGATGTGTTTAGACAAGGAAGTTAAACCTAATTCCTTGAGAACTTGGGATGAGGTCACTAAGGAGTTTCTTTTCCGTTTCTACCCTCAAAAGAAGACCGTCGAGGAAAGAACTCTAATCCAAAGTTTCAAGCAAAAGCCTAGTGAGAGTTTGTTTAAGCCTTGGGAAAGATACAAGGAGTATCAACGAGAATGTCCTCATCATGGAATTCCGACTTACCAAATCATACAATTTTCTATGGAGGATATAGCCCCCGAGGGGAAGTCGTGTCTTGATGCCGGAGCTGGAGGCCCGATTATGAACAAGACCGAAGAAGAGGTTGTAGACATAATTGAGGATGTAGTTCGTCACTACATGGATTGGAAAGAGGGAGAGAGAGGTGTCTATAAGCAAGAGTGGCTCAACTGTCTATTCGCATCTCAATGCAATCAAAAACTTTTCTTCCCAAATCTTAAACTTGGGGAAGGAGATGACATTGATCAAAGCCAAGCTAGAGAGTGCCTCTTCGATTGCACCATGTCTTCCCTCCCACATTAAAGGGAGAGGTACACATTCTAACTCTACTTCTCCTTCTACCTCAAGTAACATGCCAAGTGGTTGTGTCTTTTGTGATGTTTGTGGGTCTTATGACCATGAATCTTCTAATTGTCTAAATGCTTTTGAAAATTGTGATGATGTTGAAAACAATGATTGTGAACAAGTGAATTTTTTTTTTCCAATAATAATAACGAACAAAGATTTGATGGTCCAAGGAATTTTGGGAATAGGAATACTCACCAACAAGGTAGTTTTGATAACTACAACAATGGTGGTTATAGGAACCAAGGAAATCAAGGTTTCAGAGGTAACTATAGCAATCAAGGTTATAGTAATCAAAACCAAAATCAAGGGTATGGAAATCAAGGCCACTATCATGGTTTTGGTGGCCAAAAACAAAATTTTGGCAACAATCAAGGCCGAGGTAATTGGAACAATCAAAGTAGGGGAAATTTTCCAAATAACAACCAAAGGGGACCCCCACCTGGATTTGCTCCACGATCTCAAGGCAATGGTGATAATTCTTGTGCTCAACCCCCATCTTCCAAGAATACCTTAGAGGAGATCATCGAGAACCAAACTAAGATTTTGAACACTTACATGTCGGTGAGTGATAAGAAGTTTAATGAGATGATGACACACAACAAGATGCTTGAAACCCAAATCACTCAACTAGCCAACACCTTGAAAGATTGTGCTAGCCCTTCTTCATTACCTTCTCAAGGAGTTGATTCTAAGAAACCCATTTATTCTATCACCATAAGGAGTGGAAGAATGCTTGAAGAGAGGGTTTCTTGTAATAATGAGGAGGATGAGAAGAAGAGTGATTCAAATGAGGAAAAAGAGAGAGATGTGTCAAAGAGTGTGAGCAAATAGGAAGTCCATGAGAAAAAGAAGAGTGTTGAGAGAGTGAAAGAGGAAGTGAGAAAATCCAACCTTCCATAACCCCAAAAGTTTATGAGGAACAAATTAGATGAACAATTTGGGAGATTCCTTAACATATTGAAGGAGGTCCATCTTTCTATCCCTCTCACCGAAGCCATAACCCAAATTCCTAGATATTCCAAATTCATTAAGTATATCTTTAGTGGCAAGAGAGAGTGCAATGAGATAGATTCGGTAGAGCTTGGTGAGTGTTGTAGTGCCTTGATTCAAAATTACCTACCAAAGAAGATGAAAGATCCAGGTAATTTCTCCATTCCTTGCAAAGTCAAGAGTAAGTTGTTTGAAAATGCATTGTGTGACTTAGGTGCTAGTGTTAGCATTATGACTTATTTGGTGTTTAAGAATCTTAAGTTAGGAGAACTTCTTCCTACGAACATGACCTTGCAATTGGTCGATAGATCCATTAAGTTCCCAAAAGGAAGAGTTGAGGATGTTCCCCTTAAGATAGGTGGTTTCGCAATTCCCGTAGATTTTATTGTGCTAGAAATTGAAGAGGATGACCACATTCCTATTATTCTAGGGAGAACATTCTTAGCTACCTCGGGAGCTTTAATTTAATAGATGTTAAGGGAGGCCGTATCACCTTGAGAGTTGGTAATGAAAAAGAAAGTTTTGAGTTAAAACCGATGCATGAATCCTTGTATTTTGTGAAAGGAATCATGAGTGATAATTCCCTTTGTTCATTTGATAATGTGTGTGTGATTAATTTTTCAACTAACGGTGTTCATGAGATTTTTTATGATGTGCTTGTGAGTTTTAATTGCATGAAAGTTAGTGAAGAGAAAAAGGAGCTTTCAAAGGCTATGGACGAAGAGGTAATTGACATTCCGCATTGGTTTAAGCTTTGCCCTCAAGAGGAGGAGGATGATTCCATGGAATTGGATGGTGTTATACCGTCTACAAGAAGGAACAAAGCCAAGAAGAATGCAAGAGCTTCTAAGAAGAAGACAATGAGATTGAAGTTAAAGCAAGAGAAAGTTGTTTTTGAAGTAAAAACAAATGAAGTTTCATCAAGTAATAATGAGTTGCTAAAAATTGAAGAGAAATTTGTACCTTCCTCCACTTTAAATAAGGTAGTGTCCTTTAACCCTACATGATTTGGAGGAAGGGTCGAGCTTAGGACCATACGCACGAGCTTCCCGGGAGGCAACCCAGAGATTTCTAACTTTTTCTTTTTATTTCTATTTTCTTAATTTTCTTTATTTTATTTTCCTTTCTTTCACTTGTTTTTCTTTTGGATATATAGGGTGAATTCATGGAGTTGGATTAATTCAAGTGAGCACGAGCAATGGGAAGGTGTTTCGCGGTTTTTGATGTGATTATATTCAATTTTATTGATTTTTGAGGTAAACGGGTAAGAAATGTTAGTGAGGTAAGATAGGGAAAATTGAGCTTAAATTTGAAGAAAGTTTGAACTTTGTGGGTTCATTGTGGTGTTGTCATTATTTTGGGATGTTGAAACCACTGTCAACATGTTTAGAAACTGCCATATTTGGTGGGTTAATAAGCCCCGGGATGATATCGAGCGAAGAGCCCACAGATGAACGCACTAAAGAAGCAAGGAAAAGTTAATACCGAGTGGCGCGGCCGCGCCAGGGTGGGGCGCGGGCACGCGAGCGCTCTGTCAGGCCGCACGGCCGCACACCCCTGTGTCGTGACCCTTTTTCTTCTTCTTTTTCCTTTATTTTCTCATTTCTCCTTCTTCCCTATCATTTCGAACGCACCCACCTCACTAAAGTAGCATAAACCGCACAATCCTAACCATACTCTTATAAAAATTCATCATCAAATCTTCCAAATTCTTTCAAAAATCATTGAAATCCTTCTACAAATTCATCATATTCAACAAAAATCACACTATTTTCATCCATTTCAATCTTCAATCTCTCTCATCCATTGTTGAAGCAATTTGGGGTTTTTCCAATTTTGAGAGAATAGGTGGCCCAAAACTTGTTTAATCTTGCTCCTTGTATGGTATAACCATCCTCTCTTACTCTTAATTGCATTATTATATCATATAGTTTTAAGTATTAGATTGTTCAGAATAGTAGTAGTATGAATTTTGATGATTTTAATGATTGATATTGAATTTTGGATGCTTCTTTGTGTTGTTTGTTGATTGATAATAGCTTACATTGTGTTGTTTGTTGATTTTGTAGCTAATTTGAGCATATTTTTTGAGAATTGGTGAAGTTGGATTTTTGGTAGTTTGGTAGTATGTGATATTGGTTTGATGAGCATTGGTTTTGGTTTCATTGTGATTTGGGATTGATTGGGAAGCAATTGTTGATTTGAATTGGTGGTGATTGTGAAAATTTGAGATTGTTTGATTTTGGCAGTAAGTTATTGATTGGCGGTATTGGTAAAGGAGTGTGATTGTGGCATCTTAAAGTATCGGTTGGTGTTTTTGTGGTGTAGTCTGATCGGATTTTTGAGTTAATATCTTCGGAGGATCACCATGTCTAAACACATAAAAACCTTCTCAAGAAACACAAGACCAACGTAACCATTGAAGAACCCACTCCTACTCCCTCTACTCACAACCTCTCCAACCCAGCCCTATTCCCAAAATACCAATCACCGATCCAATCCAAAAAGCAAGGTTCGCTAAACTATGAGATAACCGTTCCCTAAAACCTTCTCGACATTACTTCCAATCGGATATGATCAAGTTAGGAATTGATGAAGATCTAACGGAATTGCTTAACAACCTCCGCATGGGGAAATTTGTGAGTCATAGCTTTTGTACTTATGTTCAACCTACTTTGGAGTTTTTGGCTACGGTGGATCTTGTTGTAGTTGAGGGAGGAAACTACTGGGTTCGATTTCTACTCTTCAACAACTATTTTGATCATTCTCTTGAACAGTTCAATGCGGCTCTTGACTTTGATCTGTATTCGGATATTTTGGATCCCGAGCTCTTTTTCAACAATTGTTAGTTTAGATGAACTACTACGAGAGGGGGGGTGAATAGTATTAGGTTCCAATCGTGAAACTTATGAGGAAATTAAACACTAAACATAAAATGAACTTAAAGAACACAACAAGATTTACGAGAAAACCTTCCAGTGCCTAACGGGAAGTAAAACCTCGGCCCTTCTTGGGAATTTCAAACAAACTCCACTATAATAGGCAACTCTCCTAGTACAACTTATTACACAGACCTTGCTTCGCAAGTTCCACCACGGACACTTGCCACTTGATAGGACACCTCCTACTAGACCTAAGACACTTCCTAGGTACCTTTTCCCTTAACCCAGGACACTTCCTAGGTGACCCAAGACACCTCTCAGGTTCCTTTCACTTGACCCAAGCTAAGACACCTCTAAGGTTCCTTTCACTCACTGTGCACTCACAGCTACCACTTAAATTTTAGAGAATTCAAACTCATACACTCAAACGTGAATTTGTAGAGAATTCATAATCTAACCCCAAAACCAATTACAACACAAAGACTCAGTCTAACACATAAATGGAAAGCTACACATGAAACCCGAAATCAAAATAACAAAGCTTAACCTTTGGCAAACTTACTCTTAAGCACTAAGTGGTTTTCACGTTTAAACTCTCATTTTGCTTCACGGAATTACTTCTATATTTATAGAGGTTCCTCAGTTCACAAAGTAGGGTTTTTGCAAATGTGATAAGCTTAAACAAAAATCTAATCTTATCACTTTAAAATTGATATCAAAACAGATTTAAGGATAAATTGGATTTTAACACCTGACAAAAGGTTGAAAATGGTTTTTAACACCCCCCAAAAAAAAACTTTTATTTTAACACCTCCCAAAAATATAAAAGTTGGAAGTTAACACCAGTTAACGATTTCTGTCACAGAAATTTAACGTGGGTCCCACAAATTGGCTTCAACTTCAATTTTCACCCAGCAAAACACGAAACTTCCTCTCTGAACCTTCATTTCATTGATTTTATCCATTACAGATTTTTGGTGCTCATAATTTACAGATTTACAGATTTTTGGTGCTCATAAATCAAACCATACAAAAAATAAATAAAAAAATTCAACACCGGTTCATCTTCTCCTTCGTTGGAGAACAAAGCGACTGAGAACTTCCATTTTTTTTTACCACCAATTCCGCCGCCCATAAAGGGCCCTGTACGGCTACTGACCAAGCCTTCGCAGCCAGCAAACATGTTTTGTCCTCTTCCAACCAAAACACTAGAATAGCCACCATAGAAACCACCACTCCGGACAACCAACAGTGGCGAAAATCGATTTCCCCAGCGAATCCAACTCGACCAAACCTCCAGGCTATTCCCTAAAAATCGTTGTGAACTCAACCAGCAAGCCCACAATATCCACCACACAGCTCGCCTAAACTCTGCAACCAATCTCACAGTCAAATTTTTCAGAGCCACCACGTTCCTTACCAGCACCTCCGCGAGATCTTCCACCAGATTCGCCAGCGAAGCCACCTCGGCCCCCCTTCACCTTCCCCGTCCCGATTCCATCCCCCCTTCTCCGTCCTGATTTCGGCCCTCCACCCGTCTCAAAATGTCTCAATTCCCCCAATTTCATCAAGCTTTAACTCAATCAAGCCCTAATTTCCAACTCCGAATCGGTCGCGAAAACGACGACGACCTTATTTGGGCTACTATCCAACGACTTCCTTCTATTAAATGATCAAATTTTGCTGATTATTCGTCGAAATGACGACTGTGGTGGTGTGGGAGTTTCTACCATTAATGTAACCAAGCTTGATCGGAATCATCGCGAGTGCATTTGGGGGTGGGTGAAGGGGGATGGGTTTGAAAGGAGGTGGGGGCTGGCTGTCGGGAGAATTGTCAATGGCTGTGGGTTGGCCGGTGCCCGGTGGGCAAGAACGAAGGAAAGAGTTTGGGATGGCAGCCATGAAGATGAAGGGAGGAAGAAGACGAAGAAAAGATGAAGGGAGGAATAAGAAGAAAAAATGGGATGGCAGCCACGAAGGTGGGTTTCGTAAAAAATTGAAAACGAAGGAGAGCGAAAACCAATTTATGGGACCCACGTTAAATTTCCGTGACGGAAATCGTTAACTGATGTTAACTTCCAACTTTTATATTTTTGGGAGGTGTTAAAATAAAAGTTTTTTTTTGGGGGGTGTTAAAAACCATTTTCAGCCTTTTGTCAGGTGTTAAAATCCAATTTATCCCAGATTTAATTTCGTTTATCTGAAAACCAATTTTAATCAAATTCGTTTTATTTAAAAGATAGATTTTTTATTAAAAGATAAAACCGAGTTAAACCAGATTTTAGAAGATAAAAGCAAATAAGTACCTTTTCATAAAAATTGTAATTATCTTTTACGAATTAATGAGCTTGCCAAGCTTTATCTGATTTCTAATAAGTTCCATGCATAACAACCAATTACATGCTTACATAAACCTATAAAACAAACTTATATTTTATACAACTATAAGTTATGAAATCCATCTTTTTCGGTTGATATCTCGAGCTCTGCACCGATTGGTGGTTGTTGAGGTTTTCCCCAGCATTACACCGGAACCAGGTCATTACAACCGTTGTGAAGTTCCTGTTAAGAAACTTCGAGAAGTTC